TTTTTTTTTTTTTTTTTTTTTTTTTTTTTTTGGCACAAGATATGAAAAGTTTATAGAAGAGAAAAGTGGTGGTTGTACCGCAGCAATCACATGTGTAAGGTTTTGCATTGTTACTATCTGTTGTTTTTTTCTTTTTGAGAATTATGAATAACAAATGACTAAATAGATTTGATCTTCTTGCTTTTGCACATGGTAAGATTTGGTTGCTGAGATTCTTTGTCAGTCCTTAAAAACAACCATGAATGTCTTGTTTGTTATCTTTACTATAGATTGTCTCTGCCTTTCTTTTCTGCATTAATATCATTCATTTTCTTAGGATTAGGATGATGTGTTGTATGTGTCCTTACTCCAAACTCAGATGATTACTAAAGAATTGAGATTCTAGGTGTCCTTTTTGAAGAGTTGTCAATGATGACTCATCTCAAATTGTGGTAAATTCAGTAAATAGCTGAATAATGATCAAAGCAGAGGAGTAAAAGCATCTAAGATAACATAATAGCGTTTTACCAAATCCAACGCATGCATTTTCTTCTTAAAAGTTTTAAAATATTTTGGATGCAAAATAACATTAACTTCTCTCGAGTCTTTCTTATTATCATCCCATGGCGTACTTCTGTGTCCAGCTTCGTGCAGTTGACTCGTACTTGGATTTATCCGTCTTGTACATGTGAGCTATCTCCGGCACTAGAGGATCATCTGGGTTCGGGTCTGTCAACAGTGAGCAGATCGACAACAAAACCTGTATCCACAGCAATCAATCATCATCACTTGCATCAACAACCATAATAGTCTGAAGGTTAGCTTAGTTGTTCTAAATTAGTAGTAGAAAAAGCTCAAACCTTGGATATGGTAAGAGCAGGACTCCACTGTTCTTTTAGGATATCAAGGCAAATGCTTCCGTTGCTGTTGATGTTTGGGTGGTATACCCTTGTCTTAAAAGACACCTGCAATATCAAACACTCACACATTCGATTAACAAACGTGATGTCCAGAGATGATTAAGTTACTGAAAGAAAACAAAAGAACAAACCTTTGGTGGCTTGAAGGGATAGGTGCTGTTCGTTTGCTCACCCAGGTGATCCATCTGGGTGAAGATGCAAATCAATGTTCGTTTTGTACATTAAAATGCTACATCTAGATGGATCACCCAACTGATTTTTTTAAAACTCATCTCAAATTCTCACCCAAATGAGGGTGAGTCTTGATGGTGCATCTAGATGCAGATGCATCTAGTTCAGTCTAAAATCATAAATGACAAAAATAACATTTTAAAATAAATTTAATTTTTCAAATAAAAAATACTAAATTTTTTTATGCAAATATATTTTTCCGTAAAAACCAAAAAATGATTTTTTCGCCAAACCGTAAAAACCGAAAAATGTATTTTCCACCAAAATCGCAAAAAATACACTTTCCCGCCAAAACCATAAAAATACATATTCCCGCCAAAACCGCAAAAATACATATTCCCGCCAAAACCGAAAAACGCATTTTCCAGTCAAAACCACAAAAACGTATTTTCACGCCAAAACCGTAAAAATATGTTTTCCCGCTAAAACCGTAAAAACGCGTTTTCCCGCCAAAACCGCAAAAAAACGTGTTTTCCTGCCAAATCGTAAAAACGCATTTTCTACCAAAACCGCAAAATTCCCGCCAAAACACGTTTTCCCGCCAAAAACACATAAAACACGTTTTCCCGCCAAAACTGTAAAACACATTTTCTACCAAAACCGCAAAAACACGTTTTCTCGCCAAAACCGCAAAAACGCGTTTTCTCGCGAAAACCGCAAAAACGTGTTTTCCCGCCAAAACCGCAAAAACACGTTTTCACGCCAAAACCATAAAAATGTATTTTCCCGCCAAAACTGCTAAAACGCGTTTTCTCGCCAAAACCGTAAAAATGCGTTTTCCCGCCAAAAACACATAAAACACGTTATCCTGCCAAAACTGTAAAACACATTTTCTACCAAAACCGTAAAAATATATTTTCCCGCCAAAACCGCAACAACGAGTTTTTCCGCCAAAACCGCAAAAACACGTTTGCCAAAAACATAAAAACGTATTTTCCCGCCAAAACTGCAAAAACGCGTTTTCTCGCCAAACTGCAAAAACGCGTTTTCTCACCAAAACCTTATAAACGCGTTTTTCCGCCAAAAACACATATAAACGTTATCCCGCCAAAACTGTAAAACACATTTTCTACCAAAATCGTAAAAATACATTTTCCCGCAAAAACGCGTTTTCCCGCCAAAACCGCAAAAACGCGTTTTCCCGCCAAAACCGCAAAAACGCGTTTTCCCGCCAAAACTGCAAAAATGCGTTTTCTCGCCAAAACCGTAAAAACGTATTTTCCCGCCTAAATTGCAAAAATGCGTTTTCTCGCCAAAACCGTAAAAACGTATTTTCCCGCCAAAACTGCAAAAACGCGTTTTCTCGCCAAAACCGTAAAAACGCGTTTTCCCGCCAAAATTGTAAAAAGTGTTTTCCCGCTAAAACCGTAAAAACACATTTTTGTGTCAAAATCGTAAACGTTAATTTTTCTGACAAAACTGGAAAAACGCATTTTTCATCAAATCGTAAAAATGCATTTTCCCGCTAAAAAGATAAACACAAATTTATTTTATTCATTTTATTGACAAATCCATCTGGATGCAGATGCAAGTTAAAAAAAAAAAAACAAACGAACATAGTTACATTCAGATGAATCATCTAGATATATAGACGAAATAGAGAAACGAACAACATCTAGATGGAACATCTGGATAAGGCATCTGGATGGACCATCTGGATGGATCTTTCAGATGTACAAACGAACAGGGCCATAATCAGGAGGAAAGTGAATGGAGACCAAGAATACTCCTCCAGCATAAGGACTATCAGGAGGTCCCATGATAGTTGCTCGCCAATGGAACATGTCCTCAGCCACAGGACCTACAAAACAATTAAAAAAACATTACAATTAAAGACTCAAATATCAAATCAGACATCACAACCACATCACATATCAACAGAAGCTACAAAAGGTGACACTAGACATAAAATCAAAACCATGCTGAGCTCAAGATTCTATCTTTAATGATGAATATACATGACTAAAAAAAAGTTCCATGCATAAGACACAAACACTAAAACTGGCGTGCAATCAAAGAGATTTTAAGAAAATCAAAGCTCAAGCAGTTAAATTCAAATGCATAATGGTGAAACAAATTATTGATTCTTATCAACCCTTACTACAATTTAAGACTCTAATCTCTTCATCAATCACAAACCTCAACAACGACATAACATATCAGCAGAATCTACAACAAGAAGAACACTAGACATAAAATCAAAAGCAAGCTGAAGCTCAAGATTCTCTCTTTGATGATAAAACTTCTACAACACAGGACAAAATAGGTTCATGCATATAACATAGTCACCAAAACCAGCGTGAATCAAAGAGATCCCTAACAAAATCAAAGCTTTACAAGGAAAAAATTCAAATTCATAATTCAGAAAGTATTGATTTTTATCTCAACCCTTACTTCAAAGTAGTGAAAGTAAGGATTTTTAGGGTGAATTAGTTACCTGCGCTGCAGTTAGAAGGAGGATCCTTCTGCAAATCCTTAAGCTCTTTCAAAATCCTCTTCGAAGCCATGGCTCAGACACGAAAAACCTGCACAAAGGAGACAAGCCGACACAGTTAATAATATTACGGACAGTGGAACCTCATAGCAAACAAGTTAAAACAGAAGAGATCACGGAGAGTAAGCAAGGAGAAGATACCGAAACAAGAAAAAAAAAAAGCGAAGACGATGCGGTGCAAAAGAGAAAACGAATGAGATCCTCGCTCTCTCTCCTACTTACCTTTTTCTTTATAGTCAGAGAGAATGTATTCGAGACGGCACCCTTCAAGCTTCTGATTGATCCAGCGGCTCCGCGTGACCTTTCTACGTTACTATTGTTAATTCACGTGCCAAAGTGTTTTTTTTTTCCTTTTTTTTTGTTGTAGGGCCCACGAGGTCAAGGATAACATCGTAAACGAAAAATGAATTGTTTGTTCCGGATAGACATGAGAAAAAACCTGGAATACTTATAATCAAACCAGATTTAACCTTCAAATATTCGAATAATTCCTATATTTCTATAACCAAAATAACCAAATCGAACCAAAACTGAATTGAGAACCAAATAGATATCTGAATATATATAAATATTAAATTATATATATAGATAGAATTTAATATATATTTATAATTTATAATTTTATTAAATGTATTGGAAAATAGTTTAAAAAAATTTAATTACTATAAAGTATCTAAACTATTCAAAAGTATAAAGATATTTATATCCTAAATATCAAAAGTAATCAAAACTATTAGAGATTTTTATCTGAATTATCGTAATCATTTACTATATTATTCAAAATACTCAATATATAATACTAACTATCAGAACTAACCGAACTGGAACCGAAACTAAATGATAACCAACAAAATTTTGAATACTTTCTGATTCTTAATTTTATTATCCGAAGTGAACAGAATTGAAAATATGTCAAGTAGTAAATGGGTCTTCTAAATCTCTACCCAAACTACCCAATAACCGAAATATCGAACCAAACCGAACTGATACTCGAAATGCGGAGGCCTAGTTCTTGGCAAAGGCGTCACTTGAGGCGCGTCACTTGAGGTATGCAGAATTATTTAATGGGCTCTAACAGGTCTGCAGGCCCAAATAAATGAAGGTGTATTACCTCCGACTCACTAGATACACACAAAACCTTCTTTGTTTTTAACACTTGAAATTCATTGATTGATTCAGAAAGGATTACAATCTAAAAGTAATACACACAAAACCTATATAGACTGTTTTTTACATTCTATCTAAGCATGACTTCGGTAAATAGTTAATGCAATAAACCTTTGTTATCTTTTTAAGATAATGCCAGAAGAGAAATGGAACATATATTAACCACACACACACAATAACAAAAAAGAAATTCTAAGGATAGAAAGTTTCAATTACACTACTTTTCCAGATAATGATTAGAAGAAACCACATGCCGAATTGGTCAGCTACGAAAAGGTTTATTCCCAATAAGTAAAAAAAGCGAAATAAATAATGATTTCAGAAAGAAAAATAACCAAAATCTAAACCGGGCTATCAGAGCTTCTGATCATCTCAGGCGAAGAAGCTCTGTTGCCAGAACCAGGACCAGAACCATTAGAAGGCCTAACATCCTCCATCATGTTAACAACTTCCTCCATGGAAGGCCTAGAATCTGGAGGCTTTGACACACAAGCCATTGCTATTTGCAACATCTGCACCATCTCTTCCTCAACATTGTGCTGCTGCTTTATAAGCTCAACGTCAAACACTTCACCAGTCCACTCCTCTCTCACCACTGACTGAACCCATTTGGGCAAATCCACCACTTCCTCATGCCCTGTTGTCTTCCCTGCTGCTTTCCCTGTCAGCATTTCTAGTAACAGTACACCAAAGCTGTACACGTCGGATTTTTGAGTGTGTTTCCGGGTCTCTATGGCTTCAGGTGCTCTATATCCTAAGCTTCTTGATGGGAGTAAGGTGTGGTGGCTCATCAATGGAGCTATACCGAAGTCCGAGACACATGCATTGAGGTCTTGTGTTAAGAGGACGTTTGGTGATTTGATGTTTCCGTGGAGAAGTTTAGCACCAGATGAAGAATGTATGTGAGCTATTCCTTTTGCAGCTCCTAAACAGATCTTTACCCTTGATTCCCAATCCAACGCAGCTCTTCCTCCCTCACTGTTTCCTGCATAGTATCCATCAAAAAATGTTACTAAAAAGCCATTTTACTGAAATAGCATATAAGATCATTACCATGAAGAAGCATGGAGAAGTTGCCTCCTTGGTAGTAATCATACACAAGCAGTTTCTCGTCTTTAGAAAAGTAATAAGCACGGAGAGGAGCAACATTAGCGTGTGGACTGATCCTACCCACAGCTTCCATCTGCTGCTCAAACTCTCTTTTACCAGCTGCTACTTCTTTCAGCCTCTTCACCACCACCGTGGTTCCTTCCTCTAAGATAGCCTTATACGTTGTCCCATAACTTCCTTTTCCCAAAACTTCAGCAGAGGCTCTGAGCAAGTCCTCAAGATCAAAGTTGTATGAGCTTCCTTCAAAGAAGACAAGCTTGTTCTTCTCCGCCTCCTGCACACCACTCCCAAACTCCTCTGCCTTGTTGTCACCCCTCCCTGGTTTAGCTTTCGGCGCCGCGGTGCTGGTGCTGGTGCTCTCTTGCCCGTTATCTTTCTTCTTGGCGCAGCAGAGAGTAAGGATGGCGAGAAGGATAAACAACAGAACCGAACCTCCAACTGCAATGCCAACAATAGCAGCAGTAGAGAGAACTCTTTTGCTTGTATCAGGACTTTCGGTTGTACCAGGCGAAGTTGGGGAAGGAGATGGAGATGGTGATGGTGATGTAGTGTTCTCTGGACATGGAGTTAAAGGACCACCACATAAAAGGCTATTCCCTTGAAACGCTGATGCTGGGAAGGACTTGACAGAAGAAGGAACTGAACCATTAAGGTTATTATAGCTTACATTCAAGTACTTTAAGCTAGGTGGGAGGTCAGGGATAGGTCCAGTGAGAGAATTATTCTGCAAGCTAAGATCAGTAAGCTGAGTCAAGTTCCTTAGAGTCACAGGGATGTTACCAGACAACGCGTTGGCAGAGAGATCAAGATTAACAAGACGTTGAGAGAGAGCAGGAGGGATAGGACCAGAGAAATTATTGTCATGAAAGTAGAGTGATCTGATGAAAGGAAGAGAGAGGATAGCAGATGGAATGTTCCCTTGAAGGCTGTTGGAACGGAGGCTAATGATCCTTAGAGCATCAAGCTTCTCAAATGTCTTCTCAGGTAAAGGACCATAGAGTCCAGAGCCAGGGAGACGCAGCGCGGTTACACGGTCATTGTTCTTGGAGCAGGTGATGCCTGTCCAAGAAGTGCAGATTGGGTTTGTGGTGTTCCAGTTGAGTTTGCGTACGTGAGGAACAAGAGATGCGAACTCGAGAAGTGCTTGCTGGTCTGAGTCTATGTCGGAAGATGAAACAAATGGGGAGATCAAAAGGAAAATGAAGGCTGCTACACTCCTCATCATCATCAAAACAGTCTTTTTTGAATATACTCTTTAGGTTCACTTCACTCACATCAAAGTTTTCTCATTCACAACTGCAAAGAGAACACACAAAAAAAAAACACGTCAAGTTCTGATTTTTGAGTCACAAAATAATTAACTTGTAAATTAGAATTATAGCTTCACAGAGTTGCCAAGAATGACACCGACACTATTACACAAAGGACTAAAGATCAACACAAGTTAACACAAAATGTAAAGTTGCTAAATTTCCCAATTAATTAAAAAGTTGCTAAATTTCCTAATGAATTAAAAAGGTGCTAAATTTCCCAATTAATTAACAAAGTTGCTAAATTTCCCAATTAATTAAAAAAAGTTGCCAAATTTACGAGTGCCATTGTTATAAGCAATCATCAAAAACCCCTAATTAATAAGAAAGTTACTAACTTTAGAGACTAATAGTAATAAAAAGTGTGCCCATGTACTTGTTTTACTCAGATCTGTAATCTACAAATGAACATTTTACAAAATTAGGGTTTTATCCAGCTAAGCTGAAAACAGAGGATCCAAAATTGAAAACAAAGAAGAGATCTTTTATTAAGAATTAAATAAGCTAAGCTAAATTAAATGTTATAGAGAGAGAAAGAGAGACCTTTGAGTTGGGTTCAGTGGAGAGTCTTAAGCTGATCGAATATAATGGCAAAGAGAAGAAGATATAGTGAGTGGAGAAGAGTATCACTTTTAATAACAACGGCATTTCGTGAAGCTGAAGCTTAATCGAAAGGTGAAAGCAGAAAAGAGTAGAGAATCTGGAATCTCCATTAACACAGATTCAGTGATAAACATTCAGAAGAGAGAGTGTTAAGTTTTGCTAAAAACTTTGGGGTTTTTTCTGGTTTAAGTGAAGCTTCGGCGTGACGAAAACGGAGAAACGTAAATCTCGATGGTCAGTTTCAGATTCCAATCTCTCTCTCTCTCTTCTATCTTGTCTGTGCTTTGCTCGTTGGCTTAAGGGCCTTTGACTCTCTTCCGAGTTTTGTAAGATTTTAATTAGTAGAGAGAGCCTTAACTATCTGTCTTTTTGTTAATTAAATTCTCTTTAAACTTTTTTATCTTTAAAACGAATTTAGCTTTTATTAAGGGGGGCTTTTGGATCTAGTACTGACTTCTCAACGTTCAATTTTTTTTTTTCTTCTTTTGAACTCTCTAGTGAATTTTCGTAATTATTGAACGGGTCAAATGATTATATGAGAAAATTTTGAATATTCTAATGGGTGATGTGAGAAACTGCTCAACTTATATTAATTTCTAAATTGTAGTGTTGGCTTCGTAATGATAAATTTTGGAATATTTTAAATAGATAATGTGGGGATAACACTCAACTTATATTAATGTACTTTACTTGTATTAATGACTAAATTGTAGTATATGGCTTTGTAATGATAAATTTTGGAATATTTTAATTAGCTAATGTGGGATAACACTGAACTTATATTAATGTATTTTTACTTATATTAATGACTAAATTGTAGCATATGGCATTGTAGTGATAAATTTTGGAATATTTTAAATAGCTAATATCGGATAACACTCAACTTATACTAATGTATAAAAAAATGAGAAGGATAGTATTTCAAGGACAACAACAAAACTGGGGAATATAAATTACTACAAAATTACGTTGCAAATTGAGCTCATTATCATTTGACTATTTATACAATTTTAAATTGTTGGTAAGGTGGTACTATCTTTCATAAAAATGGACCCCCTGAAGGGAAGGAGTTTGGTATGTGACATTAATGAGAGTATGATACGGAAGAAACATTGAAAACAACGAAATTTAAATCTCTTTCCTTTAAATATGAAACTATGTCATTAATGAGAGTCAATTTATGGAATAAAATTACAAAAAACTACTGGCGTTGTTGGTTGTGCTTTGCTGTCTATCATTATTAACTTCAGCTGTATCTCAGATTCATCACGTTACCCGCATGAGAGCCTTTTCTTTCGTCTTTCACATTCTCATTTCTATATTAAAGTATAAATGCCAAGAAGATAGAGCTTGAAGGTCCCACGTTACGTTACCATCTCTTCAAAATATTTAGATAACTACAAAGTTACAAACCTTACTCAAGAATCAATAACCAAAGAACCAAGAACCCTTATATATCTGATAATCCGTCTCTTTCCACAAGCAAACAAATTGTGTAATAAATAAATGAAACAAAAAAAGAAGAGAAAAGTGGTTTTTGAAAAAAAGTTCGTTTACTTGTGATGAGTGTGTTTGTGTGTTATAGTGGGCCAAAGGGCTCAGGAAGCAGCTCGAATCCTCCATTGTCAAACATGAGTCCGTGATCTGATGACCTATCATCAATGCTATGTAACCAGTTTGTGTTCTTGACGTCTTCTTTCAGCAACAAAGCGTCATACCTTGAGCTCTCATACATGTCCATATCACTCAACTTCCCCATCAGTCTTCTTCCCTCGTTTGCTTCGTTCCCATTCTCTGCACTGCTACTGCTAATAGAATCCGAATGGTTATGCCCTGAACGGATTGGCTGAATCTTGGACGAGGCTTGTCTTATACTCTGAGGGAATAACGTTGTTGTTGATAGTGCACAACCGTTTGACTTCCCGTTTCTTATGTCCTATATAGACAACACCAAAATGTAAAGATATTGAATGCACAAGTCACTTTCTCTTAGTGAGAAGAGTCATACCATGTGCTTAATGGCCATATCTAGTGAACTTCTTGAGAAAGACCTCCCAAGCCCGTTGTTATTATCAGTGACAGTTGAAGAAGTAGTCTTCAAGGTTCTCCGTGAAGTTACATCAGCAACGTTTGAAATCCTTCGAGGCTCAGGTGCATCCAAGTTACCACCAAAACGGCCTTTTCCTTGAGTCTCTACGAGTCTTCCTCTAGACACAACAGGAGATGAGTTCCTTCTCGTCAAGGGACCTTTGGGTTCTGGACTTGCCTTTGCTGTGATGCTACTACCAGTGACTGGCCTAGACCTGCCTGCTGATACTGGTCTTCCCGAGAGACTTGTTCTGAGATTAGGTGGTGTGTCAAGAGGGAAGTCTGCTAACACAATCGGCTGTTGCGGTGTGGTTCGAACTCTAGGTCCAGGAGAGCTAGGCCTAGACGATGAAGGTGTGACACGACCGTTTGTTGCTCCACGTCCGGTTGAAATATTTGATCCTGAAGTTGCAGATGCAGAGGAGATGGATGGGGTTCGACGTGTAGGTGTTGAAGGACGAGAGTTTGGTCTAGAAGAAACTATGTTTGGTGAGTTAGCTGTGATCTGTTGTCTTGAAGTTGGAGTCGATGGTCTTGAGCTCAGAGACGGTCTAGGCTTGTCCATGGATGAACTAGATGACCCTGGACGGATTCTGGAAGGAGTTGAGGCACGTGATACAGAAGTAGTGCGTGTGGGAGTGGAAGGTCTAGCTGAAGATGAGGAACGGGAGCTAGGGGATGAAGGTCTGATGTAAGATGAGACTGAAGCTGAGCTAGTGTTCAAGATGGATGATGGTGAACGGTTTGAAGTGAATGAGCTGTATTGTGAAGTGGAAATGGATGGGCGCGTCACGGAGCTGCTTCTAGCTGGACGTGTGGAGTGGTAACTGGTCTCAGATTGTGAAACCGAAAGCTGCAAAAGGAAAAAAAGAAATAGTATTCATGTATGAACAAAGTAATGCTAAAGAGAGTAACTTTGTGAAGTTTTAGATTGTTGTCAGCAATAAGATGTGGAGGAAAAGAATATAGGAAGGTGCAGTAACATACCCTTGATGCCTTTGAAGCAGAGCTGGCTCTAGCAGAAGGTGTAGTAATCTTTGGAGCAGCCAAAGATGAATGAGAATCGTTTCCAAGAGGTGTTCCAGGAGGAGTAAGAAGCCTATAAATAACATAAACGTACATAAGGTTAGTTCCTATCACATAACTTCAATATTTACGAGAGGCAAAAACCAAAAGAAACAATCAACACTTGCAATTGCAGTCAGCATATTAAAAATACACATAAGTATCCAAACGACAAATAGTAAATAATCCACTGTTGGATTTAGAAGCACAAAAACAGAGAGATAAGCCACCGACAAGAGATTCCGAGACTAACCAGTCATAATCATTTTTGCCTCCTTCAGCAGAGGACAAGAGATCATCACCTTTGCCTCTTGGAACTGGTTTGGATCCGACAGAGAGCCTCCCGAGTTTAGCAGAAACTGTAGTTTGATTAAAAACACAGAGATTTAGTGTCAAAATTAAGTAAGGGATCAAAGCAAAGAGACAGAACAAGATCCAGCCTAGTTTCTTCACTGGTCCCAAAAGCCATAAACTTTTGATCGAGAAAAAGCAAAGAAGATGAAGACAGTTCAGTGAAGAGACAACACAAAAGCCATTAACTTTGAGTAGAGAGTGAACATCGTTTTCTCAGACAAACTGTGATCCCCAGATTTAAATTTAGAAACTTTATTACATCAAATCGAGTAAAGTGAGTTACTAAAAAGGAAAGTGAATCCGAAACGAACCGTCGGGTAATTCATCGGCCGAAGACAACGGGAAAGAGCGACGGATCTTGGAGAAGAGATCCAAATTCTCATCGGAATCTCTAGAGAAACCATTCTGAGAGATGTTATTATTATTATTATTATTGCCTCTGCGAAACTGAGAGATCGCAGGAGTGTTCCTCCCACCGGCAAGAGACTCTCTGAGATTCCTGTTCATGATCGCTCGAGGACAGAGAGAAGCCTGGAATCAAGGCTGTATGAGGAAGAGTTGCTTACAATCTACGACATTGGAGAGAGATTCAGATCTAACGACTTTAGGGAAAAAAGAGAAAGAAAGTAGTTTTAAGTTATTATGTGTCACTTCCAAGTTGTTGAGGAAGGCTTAACTGTACTCTCTAGTTAGTATATCACGATGCATGTTCATCTTATTTGCCTTTTATCAATCATCCTCCCTTTTTTATATATTTTTTTATTTTTCTTTATGAGGTGGAGAAAGGAAGGTGTAGTTTCCTTAATTATTTGCTTGGTGTTTACATTACATTATTATCAAAAAAAAAAGAATATGATGAATCATTTATGAATGTGTATGAGTTATACCCCACGTGGTGTGGTTCACTCAAACCATGGAGTAAACATTACAGGTGATGTATTCTTGTTTACGAAACCTAATATAAACCACAATTTACACTACCAGTCGTTTGATAAAAAAAAAAACACTACCAGTCGTTTTCATATGACTGATAGATGCATTAGAGAAAGAATATTACGGTTTGCAAAATACTACTCGCTCCATTTCATATTAATTTTCATTTTAGAAAAAAAATTTCGTCAAAAATAAATATCATTTTTAATTTTCAGTATAAAATTTATTAATATTATTCTGTAATTTATCTTTTTATTGATTAAAAGATGATTAAATATATAGATAATTATGTTTTTATATAGAAAATATGTAATATTTTTTTTAAAATCCGTATGTACAAATCGAAAACAACATCTAATATGAAACATAGGGAGTAGTCATTAACCATCACATTTGATTTATCAACAATAAGAAACTAAAAGCAGTATTATTAGTGAATTTTCTTGTATACCTCTTATGAATACAATTAATATATTTGTTGATGAATGTTTGCTGAACCTTAACAACACATCTTATGTGGTAATCTAAAGAGAGGAGAAGTTGTTTTATACTTTTCTTTCTGGTAGGAATAAAAATAGATATGGAAGTCTTTCTTCCAAAAACTAATAATAGACATGGTGGATAGAGACGGCTTTGGACCCGACCATAGTTATACCCCCATGTTTTCCTTGTTCTTTTATAGCCTGATAACGATTCCTCATTTGTTCTATTATGGGCCTACTTCACACTTTATCCGGCCCATTATACCATCCTCTGCATGTGACTTGTCTCTTGTGTACTGTAGATAATAGCAATGGCCACCACAACATCGACGTTTCATTAGAGCATCATTATCGGGTACTCTTAGTGATGCTCTTAGTATTTAATTTAATTTTAAAAAAATTAAGAAAAGGAAGAAAGACGTAGAGACAACTCTTTCGTAAGAGCATTGAAGGGCACCTCTTAGCGCCACGCGTCATCTCCTCATTTGACTGGCTGGTCGGTTTCGAAAATTAACGCTTTTGGACTCTCTCTCTTTCTCTCATTCTCTGCGTCTCTCGAAAACTCTCTTCTCTTCCAGGCGATTTGCCTTCCCCTTCGGTGGATCTTGTCGGCGGTGTCTCTCTCTCTGCTCGCTCTGTATCTCGGTGGCTCTCTCTCTCTCTCTCTCTCTCTCTCTCTCTCTCTCTCTCGGTCTCTCTCTCTCTCTCGCTCGGTATCAACTGAAATTGATAGGTAATTCAGTATTGTTTTCTTCTTGATTATGCATGTCTTAGCTCATGCATTTTCTTTGTCTGATCGGTTGTTTTGTGTGGTTTGTTGGTACTCTTGAAGTCGGTCTCTTGCTGGGGCTCCTTGTCGAAGCTTTTTCTTGGTGGCTCAGTTGAAATCGAAAGGTAAACCAGTCCTCCTCTTGTTTAATATCACATCTGACTGATTTTTGTAGACTTGTTATGATCGGAGTTTTATATTTTCTAGAATCAGAAAAATCTTCTTGAGTGTTTTGGCTAATGGATTGTCGAATTGGGTTAGTTGAAATTCGTGATAAAGGTTTGTGCTTTACATCGTCTGCAGCTTTTAATTTCTTTTTCAAAAAAGAAGAAGACAACTTGTCTCGTTTATTGCGTGGTGAATAGTGATTAAAGCTTTTGCAAAGATGAATCGAAAGTTTACTTACCGATTGAAGTAACATCTTACTATTTAGGATATTTAATTCGGTTCCTAACCTTGTCTTTTTCTTTCTTTATATTGCTTGTGTTTGTGTGTTTTCATTAGCTCAGACTGATTGTAGGAAGAGTTAGAAGAAGATGTCTCAAAGAAGGGAGACTGGTCCGTCTCGGCCGTATAGGCCTATTCAACGGACTCAGACGCTTGGTAGTCTTGGAGAGGCTATGCTTGATAGTGAAGTGGTTCCATCTTCTTTAGTGGAGATTGCTCCCATTCTTCGTGTGGCTAATGAAGTTGAAGCTAGTAACCCACGTGTTGCTTACCTATGTGAGTTTGCTTGATGAAACTTTCACTTACTCATCGTTAATGATCTTGGATGATGTAACTTTGGACTGATGATGTTACCATACCAGGTCGTTTTTAGGATTGATCCGACATCAAGTGGACGTGGTGTTCGCCAGTTTAAGACTGCGCTTCTTCAAAGATTAGAAAGGGTGAGTGAGTGTCATCTTTGAAGTCTTATCAAACTGCTGCCGTTCTCTTTGAAGTCTTGAAGGCTGTTAATCAGACATAAGATGTGCCAGTGCCTATACAGGTGAATCTGATAGTAGATATTATGCTATGTCGTATTGTTCTTCTTGATACTCTTGTGATATGGATTATCACTTGATACTCTTGTGATATGGATTAATTTTTAAGAACCAATAATTAAGATACATGCAATGGACCACTCAAATTGCCTTTACTCTTAACTATCACTCTTAAACTAACTTTTCCAACTTAAATTAATTAAATATTCTTAAGAGTACTTAAACATGCTCTAGGGATGAGGATGCTCTTATGTACGACTTGTCACTTTGTCATCCACATTCCATATCATCTTTTCCACTCCTACTATGTTTATTCTCCGACACCGACTTCGCCACCCCCTTCACTCACTTACTTTCACTCTCATCCTTGCTATCTCCAGCTTCAACTCTATGTTCTCTCTCCTCAACGATGCATGTGTTTCTTGGCGAAACCGCTAGGCTTTGTACTCCTCACGACAAATCCAGCAACCCTTCCTTTTTCAGATAATATGATGCATTTTCTCCATTACGTATGATTCAATATTAATGCATGAGAAAAGCCAAAGAGGGTGAAGCATGGAACTCTGTGAAGACTCCACTACTGGTTTATCTTGGAGACGTCAGGCACAAATCCTCTCCACTTTACTTCACATATACCAGTCATGCCCGGCCCGACCCTGATTTTTTTTTTTTTGATAAGTCTATTGCAGGTGGTCTATTGGCTAATTTTGTCGCTCCGGCAGTGGACTATTCCGAAAGCTAAAATATAATTTACAAAAAAAAAAAGTCATGTCTAACCTTAAAATATTTTGGGCAGAAAGCTCAAAACTTAAAAAAATAATAAAATGAGGTGAAAAAGACTTAAAGGAATTGGTCCATTCAACTTTTTGAATATTTATTGGCCATTAACCAATTAACTAACAAGAAATTTTATCAACTGAAAGACCTAAAATTTATTTATTCTAAAAAATACTGAAAATACATGTTTTTTGGTTTTTCTTCGGGATGGCTACTGATTATCACGCAGTTAAATCATAAATAATAAATCATTATCTCTTCGAAATAAATTAAACTCGTAGTTTTAGAGTGGAATATAATCCAAAATAATTAAGTATCAACTTGTTCTAGCAATGTACATTCATTTTTTTGGGTACAAAAATGGATTGACAATTGATCAAGAAAACTCATTGCCATACCAAAACCCACAAAAGAAGAGCAAACGACAGAGTTGAAAGGATCTACTTTTGGCAGAAATATCTCAAGTTCTCAATGCACCAATGTGTTCTGCTTCGGTATGTTCTTGTTGTAGTGTAGTTTATCATTCTTTCATTTATATTCATGTTCATCAGGCGACTTTGATGATGTGTTGCTTTTTTCTTGGTATAAGGTAAAAAATAGAGTATTTGCATTCTATACTCATACAAAACTCTCTATTTAGCTGTATACCTTATTTCTCTCTTCTCTCTCCTTCCCCCCATCACAATTTTTCCCCCCTAAAATATGGTAAATCCCTAAATATCATATTTTGACCAAATTCACTCTAAAAAATATTACACAAACTAGTATAGTTACATCAAGTTGTCTGGACTAGCGTTGGTTGATGGTATTACATAAATTCGCATATAATATTTAAATAATGCAGTCCAGACGTGAACTCACGATTAGCTCTCATAACATCCTAACACGAAGCCCTCAACCAAACATAATGGACATCAATTTCATTATCTTACAGATTTACCGACTCTTTTAGAAGATTAACAAACTTTAGGGTCTTATTAACAATTAATAAAGTCAAAAGTTTATAAAAATGTATAAATTCGAGGGCTTCTCTTTTTTAAAAATTTGACTTCCATGATTTATCCCCAAAGTCTCCTAAGCGAGAGAGAAGGGATCGAATTTTTTGATTCTTTTTGTTTGGGTCCAAAGCTTTTCATTCATTGACCAAATTCTTCTTCCATCGGCTTGAAATTTTGCTCATGCTCAACGGAATCCATCATTTTTCCAAGCTCCGATCCATCCTCTGCTGGTAAGTTCTGCGATCCAATTGGATGATCCAATTTCATAATGGTGGATCGAATCATAAATTCCTGCAATTGGGTTCGCGAATTGCTAGAAATGAGAGACTTTTATCGCATTTGTGGAAGTATGGGTGGTATAAAGTTTGTTGCTTTTTAACATTTAGACCAAAAAAAAAAAGTTTGTTGCTTTTGTTGTTTTTAGGTTTCCTTAAGATTTCAAAGTTTTAGTTTTTGGATGATGTCTGCAAATTATTTTTAATGTGTTTTATGTTGGTTCTGTTTTGAGTTCTGTTTTAATTTAGTGCCTTCTGTTTTGAGTTTCTTTCTATTAAAGTTGAATTCCATTTTTTTTTTAAAACAGGAAACAGTGACTTCCCATTGATGCAGTTTTGATTCTACAAAGCCTCAGAGTTTATTTTGTTTCCTTTTAAATTAGTGAGTGTTTTCTCTAATCTTTTGTAAAAGAGAAAAAACTTGAATGATGGGCAAAAAACTTCTGCTGCTTCTATTTTTATCTGTCGCTGTATTCATTGGGAACATTGACGCGAACTCTGAGTGGAAGATCTCACATAAAGTAAGAACTGCTCCTCATGGAGACATGGGACGGAATGTTATTGATGGAAGTGGTGTGGAGAAAACTTTACATGACATTGAAATGGGTGATAAGAGAGGCGGTCACAACAAAGTTTCGGTGTCAACTGTTGCGTTGTTCACCTTGGCTATGGCTGCTGCTACTGGGTTAGGTGCAGTGCCATTCTTCTTTGTTGAGCTTGATCCTCAGTGGGCTGGAATATGCAATGGCATGGCGGCTGGTGTGATGTTGGCTGCTAGCTTTGATCTTGTGAAGGAGGGACAGGAGCATGGTTCTGGAAACTGGGTTGTTATTGGGATTTTAGCTGGTGCGTTGTTCATTTGGCTCTGCAAGCAGGTAAACTTGAAACTGATTCTTTGGCTGTCCAATATATGAAATCTTAGATTGAAACTCACTTTACCTTTGGGACAGTTTCTTGAGCAATATGGTGAGGTTAGCATGCTGGATATTAAAGGTGCAGATGCAACCAAAGTTGTGCTCGTCATAGGGATTATGACACTTCATTCTTTTGGGGAGGGATCAGGGGTTGGTGTATCGTTTGCTGGTTCAAAGGGTTTTAGTCAAGGGCTTCTGGTCACATTGGCTATAGCCGTTCATAATATTCCAGAAGGGTTGGCCGTTAGTATGGTGTTGGCATCAAGGGGTGTATCTCCACAAAATGCCATGCTCTGGAGTATAATCACATCTTTACCTCAGGTTAATAATCATACAGATGTTCTGTTATCTGATTTTCTTTGTCTTTATAACGGATTACTGATTCTTGTTCTGTCTGTATTCTATACCAGCCTATTGTTGCAGTGCCAGCTTTTCTATGTGCAGATGCATTTAGCAAGTTTTTGCCTTTTTGCACTGGATTTGCTGCTGGATGTATGATTTGGATGGTTATTGCTGAAGTGCTTCCTGATGCATTCAAGGTGAATTGCATGTACATTTTATGAAACTTTGATGTTCACATTTGAGTATATTTACTTAATCTCGTCTCTGTAACCGCAATAGGAAGCGTCTCCGTCGCAAGTAGCATCTGCAGCCACAATATCAGTAGCATCCATGGAAGCTTTCAGCACTCTTTTCGAGAATTTCACACATGATTACAAGTAAAAAATAAAGTTTACGTAATAGTTATAAGCTGTTGCATTTGATTGGTTATACAACTAATACTTCATTTTCTTCATTCTGCAGCTCAGAAGATGCCTCTGGCTTCTTCATTTCACTCCTCTTTGGTCTCGGTCCATTGCTTGGTGGCGTGTTTCTAGTTGTATCAGCACTCACCTTCCGTCTACAACACGCTCTTCTCATGGGAGTAGCATCAGGCATTGCCTTCGTCCTTGGTCTCTGGCGTCCTCTTCAACTGCTCCTATCTGCAAAAATGGGATTCATCCCTTTGGCTACTCTATACACAGTTGGAGCCGTGCTAAGCCATTTCGCTAGCTTAACCATCCTTAACCTTACCTCTCGGAAAAAGTCACGTGCTGGTAGTTTAATCACCACAGGAACCAATTTTCCAACCAGTGTGATAACACTCCAGTCATTATTAGCATGTGGAGCGGTTGGTTTCCACGCACTAGCCGAGGGGCTTGCTCTTGGGGTCGCTGCACCATCGGCTTATGGTCTCGGCAGACACATGGTACTACCTGTTTCCTTACACGGGCTTCCAAGAGGGACAGCTGTTGCAAGCTGTGTCTTTGGAGCTACAGACAGTTGGCACGCAGCTCTTGCAGCTGCAGCTTTGATCGGTTTTGTTGGACCTGTCTCAGCCATTGGATCTATACTAGCCGGGATAGATTACAGTGGACTTGATCATGTGATGATGATTGCGTGCGGTGCGTTGCTTCCCAGCTTCTGGCAGGTGATTCAGAGAGCGGTGAGGTTGGAGAGAAAGAAAGGAAGTGTGGGGATGGTGTTGGGAGTGGCGTGTGCCGTTGTGTGTTTGACTTTTACTAGACTTGTTTGCTTGCACACTCCTTACTGCAATTCTGCACCAGAGGCTGTTAGATGATTGATTCATGAAAGTAAAGAGCTTCCTCTTGTGAAAACATACACTTCCCTTATCCTATGTTGTATGATATATACATTGCATGATCCTTAACTCGTGTGTCTATACAAACTTTGTCGGATTTTATTGTGAATGGAAAAGAGATTAAAACCCCATCAATCACTTCTTTTCAGATCATGGAACGATCTAACGGGTCCAAAGTATTATCGCAAGATTACCAAATTACTTCAGTTCAGTATTCGGTTAGTTCGGTTTTTTAAAATTCTAGCAAATTTGTCTGAAATTGTAACAAATTTAAATCAAAACTAGGTGACCCACCCGCACCCTGTGCGGGTATAAAAATATAGTATAATGTTGAGACAGAAGTATCTATTGAGTTCAAATGTGGGACTTAGTGGAACAAGTGAGAGTTTCAATGCTGAGACAAGATTTGCGCAAATCTCTAGGATGCAGTAGAGGTGGGCAAATCGTTACATTTTCGGTTTGGTTTGTTTAGTTCGGTTTTAATATTTTTTTTT